GCAATACATATTTAACCGTATAAGATATGTATATTTCTAAATATAAATTTAATTTAAACAAACATCGAGATCAAAATAAATATACAATAATAAATCCGTCACAAGGTATAGATTTTTTGCTTTCACTCTTCCAGAGGAAAGATATATATAGATGGTATATTTACACTATTTCCGAGAGAAAATATATAGTTCGTTGATTTACACTAATAGAGATAATGTGTATACGTGGTCAGTTACAGTAATAGAAAGAAAATATGTATAGATAGTTAGCTTATAGTAATCCAGAAAAATGATGTTGAAATAGTTTATTATTCTTAACTTTGTTTTATCGCAAACTGGAGTTTATTATGAGACATTTCTATAAACGTAAATAAAATCACGACCTATGTATGTATATATATACATATATGTGTGTGGTTTGTTTACACTAACACAGAGCAATATGTATATATAGATTGCTTACACTAAAATAGAAAAAAGTTTTTTACACTAATAAAGACTTAGTAATTACAACAATTATTATCAGAATGTATGATTGACAGAGAAATTATGTGACGTCTGATAATTTGCTTTGGATGGGAGAAGAGCACATTTACTCCTTTTTTCTCAGGTTTAAGTAACACCTAATGCTAAAGAGATGGTTTCTGTTGCAGAATATTCTACAAGGGTATAACATGCTTTGGTCTATCGAATGTTTTTATACTAAAGTCGATACATATCTATTATAATATTAAAGATTGAAATAGAATTAATAAATCTTGACAAAACAAAGGTCATCGATTGATCGGAATTGTACCTTTTTTTATTTGAACATGGTGTTTATCCTGCAACGATGTATTTATAGAAGTCAGAAAGTAGGATTTTCATCTCAAAATGTACCTTGTACATAACTAACTAGATAATGTATAAATGTTATATTGTAACGTGGCGTTCAGATGTAAAATAAATGTATATATAAATAGCAGTATTTTCTGGCTGACGTTTCAGGAAATATACATCTTAAATCTGGCTCTATTCCAAACAACCCTCTCTTGTTCGTTTTAAGAAACCGCTTACAAATTTACTGATGCTTCAACTCTAATGATTTTAAAATAGTTAATATTTATTGATCCCATCAAGGAGAATAGGATGAAATGTTTCCCTTCACGAAGCAGGAAATACTGTGTAAATTTACTGGTACTTCCTACAGATTTATACAAGTACACGTTGAGGTGGAATGCACTAGCTGAAAGATTAAATGCGATAGTTGAGTAAAACATACCACAGAGTACTTTGTTAAAATGTGACAGTTTAGCGAAATACTTATCGTTAAATCAACGATTAAGTCACTCGTGAATGGCATTATGAAAAACTGCATTATATGTCTACACAGTCTTCCTCAACAGATATCACTGCAACAGTTGAAGGTGAATTACAGGTTTTATTTAAACGGATAGAAGTATAAAGTAATTCTCTTTCTCCCTATTTACAGTTTTACTTCAGTACGACGGTACACGATGTGTAATAAACTCAAGAAGCGAAAAGGATATCTTCAGTCAAACTATCAACTTCTGATACAATTAAACTATAAATATGAAAATAAATAGCTGTAGTAAAACGTAATTTCGTTGCTCTCGTTAAGCCTAATAAGTCTCCATTAATCGTTAGTCTAGGCGTTTACGCAGCAGCTTCATTTTTTCTTTTCTTCTATTTTTTTGCTCTTTGTGTAAAAGTATTTTCAGGTAGACTTTAGGGTGCTAATAAGATCTGGTAAGTAGTAAAAACCTCCTTGTGGATCCAAATAATAGATCGAAAATGCTATTTATACATATCTCTTATGTGAAATAGGTAATGGACTAAATATGATATATGTGAGAAAAGGGTCTGGAATTAAACATGATTTTTGATTGATAAAGTCCAGAGTTCATCTGCTGTTGACATGACATATTTAACATGTGTTCAAATAAAAAATAGCTTTAATAAAAAAGAAAAGAAAAACAAGAAAAAATCGTCAGTTCTTTATCCAATTCAAAATAACTGGGCCAAAAGTAGCTGAATATGACAGAGAATAAAAAAACAACAACACACGATCGAAACGTCACAAACGATAAACAACTGAGTAACATTGGTAATAATAGTAAATTTATATCAATACAGTTTTTATTTTCATGTGTTTTATATACTAAATATTACTTCTTTGGATTCGACCAAGATATATACACCTATTTGTAAATATTTTCCCGAATTAGGTTATACAGACGTTAATCGGTTATATGTAATCATTATATAGTTTTCTGTATAAAATTATTTCATCGAAATCTAATAATTACCTACAGTTGCAGCTCATATAAGAGTATAATAAACATATTAAGTATTAGACAGTTTAATCTGTTTATCTACCAGGATTCTTCGAGTAGACAATTATTAGTTTGGGAAAACATTCATCAAGTGAAAATAGAAGCCAAAGTAACTATTTGTTATTTAGAATATTTGAAAATAATTACTTAGACATGTATTTTGTAATATCAGTTGTATTATGTCTATATGTGATACATTTACATTTTCATATATTTAAATTGTCAAAATCGAAATGAAAAAATAGACATAATTTTTGTAATTTGAACAGGCGGTAGTTTCGGTGTTGGACGGGCCCTGGCTGTGGAACTGGCTAGGCGGGGGGCGAGAGTAGTTGTTGCTTGCCGGACTAAGGCTCGACGGGATTCAACAGCTTTCTTTCTTCGAAAACGGACAGGAAGTTTCAACTTGCGAGTCATGTTTATGGACCTCAACAGTCTGGACACTGTATGGGAATTTGCAAAGGAATTTGCGGACACTGAGGACAGGCTAGACGCCATCATCAACAATGCAGGTAACATTTTGGAGATCACGACTGTACAATAAAACGGACAATATTTTACCATTGCCATTTTTTACATATTTGATGTACGAGTCAAAACTCATACCAATTTAGAACGAAGTGCTGAAAAGAAAACAAAAAACATCGTCAGTTTTATTGTGTTATATTTTCAGATGATGAGCACATTTCTACATTAATAACACATGCTATGACTGCTTCAAATGGTATTCTAACTAACCTTGGATAAACGAAAAACCAAACAGATCTTGAATGACATATAAGGTTCTCGAGTAATCAATACATCTTACTATAAATACGATCCATTGTGTGCATGTGTTTGTGTGTATGTTAGCATCCATCATCCAGAGTTGGTTGGCTCAATTACCGTAAGTTTTTGTATGGTAACTGGAAAATATCCGGCGGTGTACAAGGCTAGAATTTTTGCACGAGAAAGGAGATAAAAAAAATCCCCTGAAAAACGCTCATATCCACTTTTTTTTATAGACTATTGGCTTTGAATTTAAAGACATAAGTGCTTAATCTGTTAAATGAAACAATTATTACCTTCCACAAAGTAGGGTATGTAATTAGTATACTAAATCATCAGATAGGTATCACCGTAAGTTTCTTATTTATGATGTTTAGAGGGGAGAAGTACTTAAGGCTTGGTTCATCATGTAATACGTAACTCTTTAGTTTGTTCATCAGTTCATTTTTATTAATATTTTTCTTATATTATTGAAGCGAATTATCTTGGAGTCTGTCACATACTACCTTGCAATTATATTTCCCACAGTTAGAAAAGGGCGCTATCTTTAAGTTAACGACTTTCTTGACCAACGAGTTATGTGTAAACTGCACACATACCTGAACAAACAACTAACTTATAAAACGAGTTATGTGGAAACTGCTCATATACCTGAACAAACAACAAACATATAAAACGAGTTATGAGGAAACTGCACACATACCTGAACAAACAACAAACATATAAAACGAGTTATGAGAAAACTGCACACATACCTGAACAAACAACTAACATATAAAACGAGTTATGTGGAAACTACACATATACCTGAACAAACAACAAACATATAAAACGAGTTATGTGGAAACTGCACATATACCTGAACAAACAACAAACATATAAAATGAGTTATGTGGAAACTACACATACACCTGAACAAACAACTAACTTATAAAACGAGTTATGTGTAAACTACACATATACCTGAACAAACAACTAACTTATAAAACGAGTTATGTGTAAACTACACATATACCTGAACAAACAACAAACATATAAACCAATTCCAAGGGTTCATGATTCGTGTCCCGTTGCCGTAAAATCATATTTCGCACTTTGGGTCCAAGAGTTGGTGGTGAGTACTATAGATTAACTGTTTTCCCTCTGGTCAGTTCAAAACTAGGAACGGTTAGCGTACATAGTCATTGTGTAGTTTATCGCCTCGAATATACGAAACAAACAAACTTTTTTCGGCTTACTACATAATATTGAATTCCCACTGAAAATAGAAAAGTGTGAGGATATTGCGCAAAGAAACGATATTTTCACAGACAAGTATTGTTTGTGTTATTCATCCAAGTAAAATCACGAATAATTAGAGAGAATTATTAAAATTGAATCTTCTTTTCCCAGCTAGTGAAATTATTACTGTGGTAGAACGGATGTTTAAAGAGAATTTAGGGTATAAAAGAAACATTAAGGCAGATGTTGAGATAGTAAAGCACAAAAACAAGCCGATAGAGAAGGAAAATGGTAAAGTATAAAGTCAGAAGCTCTGAAATTTTAATTTTAAGAATATTTATCATTCTGGGGAGATAAGTAGAGTAAGTGTATACTTCTGCTGATTATCAGGTTTATAATATACAAGTTGCATCACGGTAATGCACGTGGAACCAATTATATTGCTGGTTACAAAAGTTAGTGTGTTATCTACTCGCTAGGACACCTGCGACGCATAAATATGTCAGTCTGATAAACTAGAAGATGGCGTTTCCCCTGTAATAATCGAGACATATTCTTTAAAGTGTAAAAATAGAAGTTAATAAGTTCAGAAAAACGAAAAAATGAATAAGT